TCCACTTGGCTTCTGCTTTATCAAGTTCTTTTTCTAGATCACCTCCCCTTCATGGAGTATTAATTTTATGGATTTCAAAGAATTTCAGTCCATTGGGGTTTCTTCCATGTGCTATGTCAAAATGTTTGGAGAGATTATGCAAATTGAGGCCTTTCTTATTGTTGCGGATGTGTTCCCCTACTCTAGTTTTGAAGGTTCTTTGTGTTCTACCTGTATATATTTTATTGCAGGTTCAGCTTAATAGATATACAAGTCCCTTAGTGAGTCACTGTACTCCAGTAGGATAAGATGGGGGGCTTCTTTATGATGCCCATCAGCATAGTTAATGCCCAGAATGTTTTTAATTCTGGCACATTGATGGGGGAGCCATTGATGCTTTGCCAAAAAAGAGTCAGTCTTTGAAGTACGGAACTGATGGGCATATAAATTAGTTTGGGTGACAATCTTCCCCAATACATCATCACCCAGAAACACCTTCAGAAACTGTTGGGGGCTAAATCCTGCGACACTCACATTGATGCCAGGATTTGCGGTGAAGGGTGGGATATCTGGCCTCTGCCAATGAGGCACTACCCAGTCCTCAGCAGTACTGCCAGCTGGAGCAGCACATCTCCTTCTGGCAGGGGGACTAGCAGCCACAGATACATCACTACATACATCACTAGCAGCAGACACTGTATCTAGTGATGTATCTGAGAACCTGGCAGGGTCAAAATCAGAGTCGGAGTCAGACATAGACGCGTTAGACTCTAACGCAAGGATGGCATACGCCTCCTCAGTGCTATACAACCTCTGTGATCTCTGTGACATGATCACAATCACTTTATTTAGTGATCTGTCAGAAACAAAAATCACTGAAAAAAAAATTAACCCCTAAAAAAATGCACAGACCGCAAAAAAAAAGTTGCTGTGCAAGAGCCAGTGATCTATACAGTGATCACTGGCAGGATAGGGGTAAATAGCTCTGAAAAGAGCCTTTAGGTATCACAAAAAAAATCTGTAAAAAAATTAACCCCTAAAAAAAATGCACAGACAGCAAAAAAGTTCTGCTGAGCAACAGCAAGTGATTTATACTGATCAATGGCAAGATAGGAGTTAATGGCTCTGAAAAGAGCCTTTGGGTCTCACAATTTTGCAAATCCCTACCTAAAACTACCTAAATATCTCTACCTAAACATCGATCACTCTCTCTCACTAAAACACAAGTGAAGAGAGGGAGGGAGATCCACACTGATTAGAGTCAATATTTACTAATATTGACCTGACCAGAAAAATGGGGATCATAGTAATAATAAATATTATTAGAGGGGCAAGCTCGGATTGGATGACCCTAGTCTGCCTCTATGATGAGGCAGGCTATTGACACACCCAGAAGCCCCATGATGCACAGCCTTTAGAAATGCAGCGCCATACTGGAAGCCACATGGCTGAGTGGAGGATTAATACATTTATTTTATTAAATTTTTCTATTGATTTTATTGATTTTATTTAATAGCTCTGACTCTGTGTCTCAGTCCTTAAGGGGTTAATAGCTCTGACTCTCTGTGTCTCGGTCATTAAGGAGTTAATAAATAGCTCTGACTCTCGGTATCACAGTCATTAAGGGGTTAATAGTTCTGACACTCTGTGTCTCGGTCATTAAGGGGTTAATTATTAATTATAAAGTCCAGTTTTGGGGCTAAATTTGTAAAGAAACTATGCTGTACATAATTGATAGGGAAACCATTTCTTGCAAAAGATTGTAATGTAACACATATTACACATGTGTACCACCACATAGCACAACCTTTGGCACAAGTGAGGCAAGGTTTTAAAGCACAAGATGAAAGCACAAAAAGAAACAGATAATATAACATTTAAGACATTCAATTAGTTTGTTCTAAAGCAGATGTGTTCATATCTAAAATATATCACGCCAGGGTAAAGAAAGATATGAAACCTCAAGATTATAATCCGTTACACACACCGTGTACAGGTCATGTCCAGTGCTTAAGTCTTCACTGAGTGCCTCGACCCCTCGAGGTACACAGCACACAGGCAGAGCATCAGAAGCCAGGCCGATGGCTTCCGATGCTCTGCTACACTGCCGGGCGCCACGTGGGGCAACTCAGAAGTGATCGCTCCTTGGGAGCAATCACTCAGCAGCCTGGCATTCAGGAGAGGTATTGCAGGATGCCTCGACATCGCTGCAATACCCTTAGAGTGGCTGGAAGCTTCCAGCGCTCATATTTGCAGCGGACGTACCCTTAAGGACTGTTTTTTGTTCTTAAGGGGGTGAATTGGAGAGGGAGGTGCAGTGTATTAAATTGGGGGTAGGGCAGGCAGTGTATTCAATTAGAGTGGAGTGTGGGGGGGGGCAGTGTATTCTATTAAAGGGCATTGTAGTAGATTAGGGGAAGGGAGCAGTGTATTAGAGTGGAGGGAGGGGGCAGTGTATTGGATTTGGGGGCAGTGTATTAGAGTCGGGGAGGGAGCAGTGTATTATATTGGGTGTCCCCATGGAGATGCTCATTGGCCGCATAGCGTTTTGCCACACATGCACAATAGCCTCCCAATGCTTTCCTATGGGAAATCTTTAGATTGGCTGAGATCATCAATTTTCATCTCAGCCAAAGTGAAGGGCACACTCATAGGACTTCAAAATAAACAAGATAACGCCATTTGTTTTTTACAGCTGTGCAACAGCATACACACCATTTCAGTCCCATTTCCAAACTTTTCTGAATATGTCAAGATAGTTGGACTGAAACATTGGTTATATGCATATGCAGGGATATATGGTAAGTTCCAGGAAGTGCCTATCTCAAATAAATGGTCTTATGTAATCAGATGAAAGAGGGTAAAATCTATTTCTTTTAATTAACTAATTGGGTGATATAGTAGCTTTTAAAATTTGCCTGTTTGGGTGATAGCTCCTCTATCATCCAATAAATTAAAGGGATTCTCCAGTGCCAGGAAAACATACTTGTTTTCCTGGCACTGCAGGACCCTCTAGTGCGCCTCTACCTCACACCCCCCATACCATGTTGCTGAAAGGGTTAAAACCCCTTCAGTGACTTACCGGAGTCCAGCGCTGATGACCCTCGGCGCATGGTCAGGCTCCGCCTACACTCCTCCCTCGCCGACGTCAGCCGGTGGGGGAGACCTAATGTGCATGCGCGACAATCTGCGGGGAAGATCTAATGCGCATGCGCGGCAATTGTATAATGCTTTCCTATCGGGATTTCGGCAACGCTGAAGGTCCTCACATAGCGTCCTCACTTTTCGTGTTTTAAGAAGCCGTACATCTCCTCTAGTGGCTGTCTACTAGACAGCCACTAGAAGAGGACTTAACACTGCTATGCAAATAGTGCAGTTTATGAAAACTGCAATAATTAGGCTTGCAGGGTTAAGGGTAGTGGGAGTTGGCACCCAGACCACTCCAATGGGCAGAAGTGGTCTGGGTGCCTGGAGTATCCCTTTAATTCAAAGAAATATATTTTACACTCTTTCATCTATAGTAGTCTATACTGTATACATATAAATATATATACATAGTAGTATTGTAGTGGTATGTGGTATGTAATATATATTGTGCCTTTGGGGGACAAACATTGCCCAACAACATAAACAACTAACGTTTTATTCTAACATTACATTATGACTGCTCTATACATTGCAGTTATAGCTATCATTAAAAATTCATAGTTAAAATTAGTAATACAATTCCTAGTGTCAATTTGGAGAGCTGAAGACTGTTTTATGTTTTTTTCCAATTCCCTGCCCTTTCGTAACCAAATCTATTGACTATATCTTATCTATTTGCAGTTGTAAGTAACTATTATGTTTAGCAGTCAATAAATCACAAACCGTGTTCGATCTGCTTTCCTAAAAAGGGCAGCAATAACCCAGATGACACTGACACAAGACTAAATAAATTAACAATGCCACAGATAAACACAAGGAAACTTATGCGGGTGAAGACGAACTATGCTCACAGAGAGACTTGATTTATATGTATACAGTCATACATCTTTGTGCAATTCCCAAGACAGATATATCAATGGTATATTATTTTCTCACACTAAGGCCAATTTTAATAAAGTTAGCAATTAAATTACACTTTCACAACTTAATATATAGGTATAACAATTTGTCTTTGATGTAGCAATGGATTTTTTGTTATTTTATTGCGATGACAGGAACATATATACTTTTTCTTGAAACTGTATATTCTACCAACAAATGAGCATAATAAATTAAATTTTAAAAACTCTAACAATTAAACCCATTTACTACCTAGTTATAAAAAAAGAAAAAAAAAGGGTAACGTTTATACAAAAAGTAGTGCTGGAGCAGCGGGAATGTGGTTGGAACATAATCTACTAAATTTTATTTTCAGAATGTATACCCTGTATACACATTTTGGAGAGTGAAGGGTTAAAATAAATGATTTTTTTTTTTGGAAGACAACGCACATTTGCCCAGTTTCTGCCCATGATTCAAGCCTACAACATAAAATAATCTTCCGCAAACAATCTCTGCATGATACAAACATACAAAACTAATCCCTGTACTCAAACCCCCATTACGCCTGGGCAGCAGCAATGACAATAGACCCAATACACACAATAAAAAAAAAAGCGACATGCACACTATCCCAAATCCCTATGCTCATTTAAAAACCTCCAGTTATTTAAATGTACAATCCAGACTCCTCATGGCCCAGCATAGCAAATTACCATCTGTTCTTTTTAACCCATTAGACATTCAAGGCTAATATGAATATGAACATAGAATATGTAATATAGGATGGATGGGTGAAAGATAGGTGTTTGAGATATTACAAGTTCTCTGCCAGTTATTCTACACAATATCTTTTTAGTGTGAACGGTGGGGCAATGTTATAAATGGCAGGTATTTCTGTGAGAATAAAATAAAGTATTGATTATGTATTGACTGTAAGATGAGCAAGTATTGACATTCTCAAGCATATGTGTAAATAGAGTATCTCGTTATTTATCAAGATAATGGTTTTGTTTAATAGGGATTTTTATCAATTTTGCCATTTTTAACAGACAAAGAAAAATACATGTAAAAAAGAGTTCATTTTAATGTTTGTAGAAAAAAAAAACCAAGTAAACACTATAACATAATGAATAAATTAAACAATGTTAGAAGATTAGAATGTTAGATCACAATAGTTAAATGCTTGCATCAAGACAGTTCCCAAGACATATAGTAAGTTTGTAACTTTAGTTTCTTGTAGAACATCAGACACTTTAACAGCAAAACAAAAATTTAAAAAGTACGTGTAGGGGAAGAGGGTGCAGGAATTTGATTACATACAAAATCATTGCATTGGACATGGAGGAATAATTAGATATAGATCAGCAAGGGTATTGCGATTTGTCTGAATTTTGAGCAATTTGTCCAAATTCAGTAACTCTGAATCGCATTATGAGCGGATCACAAAAAAAAAGTTTAAAAAAATATTTAAAAATGAGGAATGAACAAGCCATGTTGCCAAAAAAAAAAGAAAAAGCTGATTGTTGGTTACAGGATAGCCACTAAATGTTGATTTTGTTCACAGATCACGTGAGAAGTGACAATTAAGGAGCAGTAAAAAAAAACTATATTTAGATTTTATTAAATCTCTTTTGGCAAATGAATATCAAGATGGAACCTCATAAAATAGTTCAATGAGGAGGATACAAGACAATGACCATTAAGCAGAAAACACATCTATCTGTACTAAATTATAGATCAACATTTTAACAAGAACAAAAAATGTCTTTTTGAAACTGTTCCAAGGAGGAACTACATGCCATTGCAATATAGTTAAATAGTATCAAAATATGTATTTAAAAGTATCCAATATAAAAATGTGTATTATATGGCTTTTATTGAATGCTCAACCATAAGATATGTGTGTGGGTGTATTTTTGTTAAAAGCGAGGGTGTTGCTATGTACAAAACAAACCTGAGGCTTGACCCCATAACAAAACTTTAAGACCTCTCTGTTCCATTTTCTTAATTCGTTCAAACTGTCTTTTGATCCCTCAGACTCCTTAATGGCCTCTACCACCTTGGTATTTTACCAGACATTGACCATTGGAAACATAAGCCTTCATTTGTACATGAATAATGCAATTATACAAACTCTTCTGTATCGGACACATTTATACAAAAATTTTCCCCAATGCTCCTTCTAACTGACTGCTATTACTTCTCACTACTGCTAATGCTTCCCACTGTCAACTGCTACTTGTCATTGTCCAATGCGTCTTATAACAACCCTCAGTGCTTCTCACCACACTGCTCATTCTCACTACCTGCATTTTCACAGCCTCATTGTATCTAAATGCTCCTTCTCAGAGCTCCTAGTGCTCTTTCTCTCAGAGATCTGGACATCAGGGATCTGGAGCTTTGCCGAATTAGACCCATGGTACCAGGCCTTAAAGTCCTCCCATCAACAACTCGCATTAAAGGAAAGATATAATCTACCCACAATTTTCAAAATGCATTATTAAGATAACGCTTTAAAATACTGCAAAAAATAAAAATGTAAAAAATAACATAAAAAACAAAAAGGTTACTCACCATTAAAGTTAGCCTTGCACACTGTTTAGAGGGCCAGGCAGTCCCCTCACAAACTGTTATCCGGTAATCCCCAGCATTGCACTGAGAGATTTATTAAGCATATGATCCGCAGAATGGCCCTCTCTCTCCTGGGAGATGAGACAGGTCAGCCGAAGTTCTGCGTGCGCACCTTAGCTACAACTGGCTCAGCCAGCTTGGTCACAAAGTTTCCAGCTTACTGACTGACAGGAGCCACAAAACTATACCACAAGAACGAAGGTAATATATGTCAGAACTGGCAGCATTTCAAGCCGCACCATAACCACTTAAGCAAAGTTTAACTATGGTTCTTGGAGTGATCCTTAAGGAATGCAAAATTTTAGGCGTCACCTGTTTTCTCTATCATTCGGCCTCTTTCAACATTCCCTGTCCAATTTATGACTTCTTTTCCTCTATCTCTTTTGTGATTTCCTGTGTAGTTTGTTACTCTCACCATCTCTAAAACGTGTCCCCTGTACGTTTTGTGGCTTGTTATGCTTCATGTTATTTGTTTGTCCCATACTCCTCATATTCTTTTTACCTGTTATTTGCTAACTCGCATTCCTTTGTCCCTCTTGTGGTTCTCTGAACATGTCATAGCTCATCGCCTCTTTCACTTTCCACCTGTTCCCCTGTCTCCTATTTAGAGCCTTCCCAGTTAGTGCATCATATTAAAGGACCACTATAGTGCCAGGAAAATAAGGAGGAGTTAATCACTTACCTTTCTCCAGCCCTGGGCTCCCTCGGCGCTGGAGAAATCTCCTCCCTCTTCCAAAGTCAGGGCTGAATGCGAAATCCAGCGTATTCTCACTGTGATTTTCACAGTGAGAAGCGCGGAAGCGCCTCTAGCGGCTGTCAATGAGACAGCCACTAGAGGCTGGATTTCTCTGAAACTGCTATGTTTACAGATGCAGGGTTAACCCTACATGAACCTGGCACCCAGACCACTTCATTGAGCTGAAGTGGTCTGGGTGCCTATAGTGGTCCTTTAACTGTTTGTTTCCAGAGAGATAGCCAATATATTGTAAGCTATGAACGTGTCTCTCTCTGCACATTTATTTTGATAAACCAGTTACAGGCCCAATCCTACAATGTTTCTAGAAGCCCTGCATGCAAGAATAAAGTTGGGGACCTAAATGAGAAACAATGAGAAGAACAAGTAGAGCACGTGCATGCTTTTAACTGTTAGTATTTCAACCAAGTCTCATAACTTATACATTCATAAGGACAGTTTATTCAGAAGCTCCTATAGTTCATATTCAATTGTCTGCACTTTGTAGGGAAGGTTTCTTGGACTTTGACTTGAGTATTATGTGTCATAATTTCTATCACTTCCCTAACTCAGTATGCTATTCTTTACACATAATGCATTTCTGATAATGAGGTTCTGAGTGATGCTTGTTCAAAGTGAAGATGTGCTGTGTAGGGGGTTCTCTCCCAATAATCAGTCCCTGATTGTGGAATGTTATCCTGTGATGAGACCCTTTGTCTGATTCTCTTTTTGTGACAAACTGCTGTGCAGGCCAATGACTTCTCCATAAGAAAACAGTCGAGGGCATCAAATGTTGAATTGAAATACTGCTATGACTTTAACTGTTTGTTCCAGTGTGCGTAGAGTCATAATAAAGAAAAAGATATACAGTGGGCAGTAAAATTGTTTTGTGTGAGAAATGTTTCAAGAAGAAAAGGAAGCACACATCAATTCATTAACAACCTTGGAGGTTGAAACCCCATGCAGGCAATGCAAAACCAATGGAAATGTGGACGTGGGACAGAATTAAGAGAATGTGCCTTGTACAAGATATAGGAGCAAGTGGAAGTAGGACATACAATACAATTGGACAGTCTACTAAATCGAATAAAATGTATTTTTTAAATTACTGTAAAACAAAGGAAAAGTATTCAATAATTCTGCAAACAACTCCCGTGTAGGTGCTGCATTTGTGGCCTTCTACAGTTTTTGTCAAGACACAGCCATCTGAGATAGTTCTGGAATGGAATTATTGGATACCATCAAGCAGTCCAGAAAGGAAGAAGTCCTTGATTTATGTACCATTTGTACTTTGGTATGACAATAAACACAGATACTATTATAAGAGTAAATGTGGGAGTCAGTATTCAGCTCCAATACCAGGCATCACTATTCTTAGCATCCAAGTTGTTTATTATATAACCTAAGAAATAATGGGTCGTTTTGTATTTGTGTATTTACAGCTAGTATATTAAGATAGACATGTCTCCATGCACACAATCTGACAAGGTAACAAAACACTAAATGCTGGATGCATCAATTTTGATGCCACCAAAAATGAACCTACAAGATTGATCTAGAGCATTTACTTAAAAATGGTGGTGCATTTAAAACACACAAAGTTCATTAACACCATTTTATCTGTTCGTCTGCTTCTGCTCTATGAATCAGTTTTATGTTATAACATCAATGTAGAATGTACCGCATCCACAATGTATCGTGAATGCATTATATGTTGGATGTCTTATCTACGATTCCACCAATAAAAACTTGCAATATAAAAAAAAAAAGATAAACATGTCTTCCATTTAGATATCAGAGCTACAGCAGCACTCACCACTTCTATCAGTCTCAACCATAGCAGAGAATGTTAAGGCAGAAGTCAACTTTCCATGGATAGGAAGACCCCCACTACATATCTACATAAACAAAATGTTGTGAAGAGCTCTGAGAATATTGTTCCATATTAAAAACCTGTTACATTAGGATTCAGTAGGAAGATGCATTTGGATTAATAGTTTCTATTTAAAGGATGTGCTTGGAAGTGTGAAAAGCGGGGAATTACAACACTTTATTGCAGGTTAAGATGCACTTAGACTAAAGGAAAACATTTAATTTGTCAATAAAAACAATTAACTTGAGGCATACCGGAGGTTAGGGAATCAGAACGGGAGCGAAGGGTCCTTGAAGGATCTGGATTAAAGTAAAAAGCTGGAAGTGCTAATGGAGAGATTTGTCCATATTAATTTGAAGACAGTAACATATTTATTTTCTGGTGTACATTTTGTGTCTGTCAAGAAAAACATGGAAAGAGCATTAGCCGAAATTTACCAGCCATTAAAATTGTGTGCTTTTGTTAATTTAAGAATGTGTTAAATAATACCACTACAAAGTGGGAACATTTAACACTGGCATATGTTTTATTTAAATCAAGCTTTGAAACAGTTAGAGGGGTTAATTCGATAGATACTGCAATGTATTGAATTAAAAATATATGCAAAAATACTTATTAAAGATTTCTTAAACATGGCTATAGTCAAAGATTGACTATTAAAGCCTAAATTGCACACGTGTTCTCTCAATTCATTACATTATGTATTTAGTGAATAAACCACTCAGATTTTGAAAATGTTTCTTTTATTATATCCAAAACTCAATAAAGGAATGTGCAGTGGTTATGGTGATTGAAAACCCCTGGCACCATCCCATTGTAATGAATTTTAATTTAATTGTTTAAACATTACTTGGATTATTTGGTTTTCATAAACTTGTCTACTACTATGAGTATAACATCTATTGTCTCTGGGGAAGTAGTTCCACAATAATGTCAATGCAAGTGCAACGATGGTTAGGCTTAGACAATA